CGGTTCCTTGGCTCTGCTCCACGGGCAGCAGCTCTTTCCCAGTCCCCTGAGCTGGGCAAATCCTCCTGCACATTACTGCGGTGATATATCCTTCCAAGTGAAAATGGAGCTGAATCAGGCAAAGCTGCTAAATTAAGTCTGTCTGGAATAAGCTGTTAAACATTGACACCTTCTGAACACCAAGGGGAGACGGATAAAACCCTCCGAAGGCTCCTGAGGACACTGCCAGCAGAAACGGACCGCAGACGAGGGAGGGGGAGAGTGTGATGAGCCCCTGAACCTCCACGTAGTGGGAACTGAGGCACAGGGATGTGGCTGAGGGTGCAGAGGCCATCTGGGAGATGGGCTTCAGCCCCCAGCCAGCTCCAGGACACACTGGTCACCCCCACGGCCCCCTCAACATCAGCACCAGGGGCGGAGTGGCCACCGCTGCCGGCTTCAAACTGCAGCTCCGAGATGCACAGCAATCCATCTTTCTACCTTTAATAAGCTTTCTCTGTTTAAAAATAATCATTACAAATAAACAAATATACCAGCCAGTGTATATAAGCATCAAATTAAGTAGCTACATGCATTCGTTGTACTTGATATAGCCTTGTTAACTGGAAATTCCTGGGTTTGGAATATGTATTGATTTCAGCAAACATATATTATTTTACTGTAAGTACCACACCAACAGCCATTGTAGTTAATATACAACAGTTTAATTTAAAATGCATTAGTTTAATAAAAATGCATAAAATAGAAGAGAATTGCATTAGCTTCAATAAAGAATTCAATTTCATAAATATTATCCATTGTTAAAATGCATTGATTTCCCAGGAAAAATGTATTGGTCAAAGGTAATTTACATGGGTTTGAATGGGAACGTACGGGCATGTATACATATGTATTAGTTTAGTCAAATGTATCTGATCACGGAAAAAATAACGGTTGGAGCAAAAGATATTCATAAGGAAACCGCAACGGCGTGGAGCCAGCGGCTGCACGGGCTGCAGCACCCTGACATGCCAACACAGCCCCCGGGGCCAGGACACCCCCAAATCCACTCCGTCGATGTCCGGACTCGGGGCTATCCATGGGCACGATGCTGCCGGGCTCCGTGGGACGAAGGGAGCCGGATTTGGCCGGGGCGCAGGCACGCGTCTCGCTCAGGCGGAGCACGCGCCTTGACAAGAGCGGGGGTTAATCAAATCCTTTTGACTCCATTTTTTATCGAGCTCGAGAGGGGCTGGCCTATTAATTAGAAAGGCTTTTTCATGTAAAACACAGGCTCTTTTGCAGATAAGAATGGATGACGCTTGATTTTGCCGTGGCGCACATACGTGTGTTATTCCATTCACGGGCTGCAGCCGCTTCCCAACTGCTCTTTTGTTCACTACGGAGTCCTAGAGGCATATATGTCCGTACATATATATTGAAAGCACTCGGGTTTTCCTGGATGCCAGTAAGCCCCCCAATATCCACAGCAGAGGATGTGCCCAGAGCCACCTCCACCCCCAGGCACGGGGTCCTCACCGGAGGGGAGGTGCAGGATGTGGCCCGTGCAGCACAGAGGATGGTGTCTGACAGCAAGAAGTGAGCAAGCGGAGCAGATGCACCGTCTTACAAATTATGGCACAAACACAGGCAGCCATCTGCACCCTGTACCCGGCCAGGATTCCTGCCCGCCCGGGCGCACAGACGGGCCCTCGAAGCCCCCAGCCACCATCTCACCCCCAACCACAACCTGGGCAACACCGGGGAGACACCGAGGTCTGACCTCTTCCAGGCTGGGCAGGCAGAAATGGTGCTTTTCCCTTCCCAAAAAAATATCCCAGGAAATCTCCGTGGCTCCAGGGCTGCTTCCCACGCCACCAGCCATGCCCCGGCATGGACATGAAGCCACGGACGGGCAGTGCCCAGGCAGCGCCGGCAGCTCCACAGCCAACCAGTCTGGTTAAACCGCTACACATCACTTCCCTGATGCTTATGGATTTTTCCTTAATGCCACAAATTAAGGTAATTGGGCTCGGCTGGCCGATGAATCCAGCTGAACTTGGCAGGAGGAGGGAGCGTCCGTGCCGAGATTGATCGGGCTCATTCCCGGCTGTGCCCGTGTGCCCGGGGCTGCTCCTCGCCCCAGCTCTGCCCCTTGGCTCTCTCGCCTGCCCTTTTGCTCAGACAGACCCCAAACCCCATCCTGA